ATAACGTATATATATAACGTATATATCGATAAAAATATATACTTGAGATATAATAATATTTTATAATACGTAAATATCATAAAAATGTATATTTCAAGTATAATAAAATGTATATCAATAATAATGTACAAAGTTGTAAGAAAATAATTAAAAATTATTCTTATCAATGTTTTCACAAGTACAATACTATTAAAGTCTTGAAACTGTGTGCAACACCTAAAAATTATTTTTAAAAATTTCGTTGACACAGGTGCAGATTTTACCTATAACTTTACTTAATTTTTATGCAATTATTTACCATTAGTTCTCAATTCTTTCTTTTATATACAATGATAATATCATGTGTTAAAATGGATATAAATAAATATGTTTTATATTTATATTATATGAAGCTCTTAATTGATTATTTCAAAATATTTCCTTAAATAAAAGAAATGCAACATAGTCTTTCGATGAATCCAATAGTAGTAATGGACATTAGCAATTCAATAAAAAATGAACGTTATTGATGGTTAATTACTTACAACGCTAACTGTCCGTGATATTGACGATAACGAAGGGAATTTATCTAACTCGGGAATTGGATCCAACGCGCCAGGCATCTCTTTCATTTTATCTTCATGCTTGCTAATCTCACTTACGTCAGTCCCAGTACTAGAGTCTGTAGCTGGTACATCAACAGATGCATCACTGATATTGTACTCTCTTATCTGAAAGGGAAAATATATAGGAAATATATACAAGGAAAAACTATATCGCAAACATAAATATACGTATTGATTCATAATGTAGTTTCTGAGTCACATTAGTTTGAACGAGACAAAGATAATTGTAGAAACTATTTCGGAGTTCGGACAATGATTTTTATTAACTCTCGTCCATTCTTTCCGTCAGTTTGATCATTTTCCTTTGCTTTCGAAAAAGTAATACATAATTATTATATTTTGCTTCATCATATTACATATTGAATATGTATTAGTGTGTCTCTGTTTGATCCAAAGGGATTACTAATTGATATCATAAAAATTAAGAGACCCCAGTGATTGAAACTGAGGAAATTTGAGGTGTGTCATTCAGACGGCTCTGATTGTTTTTATACGAAGTCGGAATATTAAGGGATGGATAATGATTGAAATTTAATGTTAATTGACCATGTTCACGTTTGAACGTACCGACTGCCAGTAGTCGACTAAAATCCAAGCTTGTATGAGGTATACATTCATACAAAAAATCGATAGCAAAGCCATGATGAAATTGTGAATAAAAACCGGGTGTGATATCAACTCGGCATCCGAGATCTCTGACAAATCTAGATATATGTCAGCGTGTTTCATTTCCATCACAGCAGCAACGAACATGAAGATGGCTGCAACGAAGCATCCGATCAGGGGCTAAACACATTTACACTCCTTGTAACAAAATCCGAACAATGGAGATCCGATTTTTGAATTAGATTGCAAATAAGATCAGAATTATATACTCACAATACGGGGTTTTCGCATCAGCTTATCCGTGTAAAGCCAGAGGAATGCAAATATTAAACTCATGAGCATACAACTTGGATAGACATAAAAAATTGGGTTTCTTTCTTCAGGCAGGTGAGGAACTGATTCGTCAATTTCTCGGCGATTTTTATTCACATGATGGTGGGTATGGTGAAAGATTTCAATGGTGAGGGAAATCGTCTACATGGAATTCCTGAAATTATTAACAAACTTGAACCAGACATGACAATGAATCGAAGATTTAAGATCGTTTGATCAGAAATTCAATTAAACAGAAATAAGTTTAAAATGTCAGCATTTTTATGCGTTCATAGTATTCTTTGGATATAAACTGCAGACGTTCGCATAAATTCACATTTTTATCTAATCATTTATGGAAACATTAATTAAATAGAAAGGTGTTATCTCTTTAAGTGGTTTCATTCGATAAAAAAGTTTCTGTCA